AAAATCCATTACATTCCTAATTTTATTTAGCTATTTCCTGGAGGAAATTATAGGCAGTGAAAACCGAACACTCTCTAAGTCAATCAAGCTCTTTAGAAACAAATGGGGCAGCCGTTCTTCCTGGCTCTTTGCCTGCTTTTCTCATCATTTCAATGTGAATTAGACATTTAAAAGCTGCCACCAGATAAAAATAAGCTGCAAATAACCAACATGACCATCTTTCCATCACCATTTTTGAAGTAACTGAAAAGAAGGTTCTGATACAAAGAGTCTCATGTTTAAAACGTAGTTCTCCCCTCTACTTTTTAAATTGTATTTCAATATTTGGTATAGGCATACAAAACTTCCAATGCACAGAATCTGCTCTGGAAGGACCTGGAAACACCAAGAGGCACACCTGTGGAGAGTGCTGTTAGCAGAGGGCGGTACACACAAGCCTAGAAGAATCACCACCGAGCCAAGCCCACGCCTGCCCCCGCAGGCAGACGACCGCCCAGTAGCCGGCCATCCACGACTCCCTCAGGCAGTGGCACTGACAAAGCAGCTGGAAGCACCAGGGACCCACCTCAAGTCGCTCCGAGGAATAACTCCCTATCCCCCAGGGAACATCCTGCAGCGAGGACTTCGCCAGGGGAGAAGTGGTTTCAGACACTTTTTCCCTATCTTGCACTCCCCAGGAATTATGTGACAGTTCCTCTTTCGATAAACAAATCTGTCCCTGGGACAGGTGGGGTTTTCCAGAGGAGCCGCAGGACGGAAACCGCAGCCTGGATGGCGGCAGCGTCTGTCCTCGGCCATCAGACGTGCAGGGAGGGCCCTGGCTGCCCTCGGGGTGGATGGCTCCACTCCTTTAGTGACGGGATGGCAGTTACCATGCCTGTCTGTGTCAGGAGCCGTTCTGCTGTGGGTGTGAGAAGGGTAGTGCCACTGGCCTGGGGGTACAAGAGGACAGTTAAGCTGGGCTGGCTGGGAGGCAGAAGTAAGAGGGCCTTGCAGGAGAACCAGGCCTGCACAGAGTCTCTCCTGCCAGGAAGAGGCAGCTGAGACGAGGTGATCAAGGACAAGGGGCTGAATCCAACCCAAGACTCAGTGGCAAGGGGCCTCAGGGCCTGCACAGGCTTCCTGTCCACTGCAGATCTAACGGGAGCTTCCAGTGGCCTGAGCACAGGACTTAACTGTAGTTGAGGGACCTGAGGTGCATCTGCTGAGTCAGATGACAAGGGACATGAGTCAGAACAGGGAGATGGTACTGGCCCAGTCTGCCCTTGGCTGAGACCCATGGACGAATGCCCTTGGGCATCCAAGACAGCACCGCCTTGTGATCCAAGAATAGAGAGTATCACAGTTCTTCCCACTTTATACCCTGCCTGATGGAGGCCAGCTACGAGCCCTGAATGGCAAAAGGCGTATAGGTGGCAACTGCAAGGGAGGGGCAGGGGAGCAATGACCTGGACACTAGAGGTGGGGAGTCAGGAGAGGGCAGAGTCAAAAACTTGGGGCTTAAAGCCAGACCATCTGGGCCGATCCTGGCTCTGCTACTTTCCAGTTATGTGACCTCAGGCAACCTCTCAGTACCTGAGCATTCACCGCAATAATGCATTAAAATGCCTACCCAAGTGCCAGGCACAGAGAAAGCAGACAGTCCATGGCAGCTCTTGCGATCATTTTATGAGAGAGAAGAGGCCGTCCTTCCCAATCCTGGAGCACCTGCTGACGGAACCAGCAGACTGCATTAGCTTGCCTTACCCTAATACCATCAACCTCAGCCCTCAACTGATTAGGCTCTGGCGAAGTGGGAATGGGCTTGGGAGCCGTGTACACCAACACACCTTTGCTCCGTGGATCTGAGAAGGGGCTCTGCCAGCCACCAAAGAGAAAGACATTGCAGTTTACCGCCAGCCATAGGTGAGGCGGGAAAAGGGTGAGAAGACATGAGAAAAGAATGCACAGGATGGTGTTTGACCCAGTAACATGACTTCAGACTGCACAAATGAGAGACTTTCACTCCCCTACTGTAAGGCAGGTCTCTCACATCGGGTCCAGCTAAACTCTGTTTTCAAGGATCACCCACAATACAAATCACTTTAAAATATTAAAACCCAAAACACAGTCAAAGATTTATAACATGAATATAAAGGAAAAACAAAACATTTTACAGACTTACACATTTCAAAGAAGTAAAGGAAAATAAGAAATATAATCAAGATCATTCTGTAGGGGACATTTTGAAACAAATTGATGATTTTATAAACTTCTATATACTAAATGATACAGGGCAAGGAGATTCCAGCCTATGTTCCTGTCCTTAGACCACATTGTCAAAATTTAGTAACTTGAATATTACAATTTAATAATTACGGGAGTAATTCGACAAGTTACACCTTTTGTTTCCAGCACCCAGGAAACATGAACAGCACGTGACCTTATACTAACCCGCAAGACAAATCTCAAACACTTTTAAAAACCCAGAAAGCATATATGTTACATATTCTAGGCGAACGTAAAAAAGTGAGAGAAAAGACTGTTTTTAAAGACCGAAGCTGCTCACAGCAGTGTTGTGTGCAACAGCCAAAACACGGAACCCCCAGGTGCCCACCAAACAAGGGGCGGACAGATGAACAGCACGCGGTGTGTCTGGGCAATGGACACGGCCTGGCAATCAGAAGGAACCAAGTACTGGTCATGGTCCAACATGGATGGACATTTAAAACAGGATGATGTGAAAGGAATAAAGCCAGTCATAAAAGACCACATGCTATAGATTCAGTTTTCATGAAATGTGCAGAATCAGCAAACCTATGGAGACAGCAAATAGACGAGTGGTTGCCAAGGCTGAGGATGGGTGAGTGAAGAGTGGGGTGACTGAAAAAGAAGGGGTGACTGCAAATGGATATGAGGCTTCTCTTTGGGGTGTAAAAATGGCCGAACTTGTGCGGATGGCTGCACAACTCTATGAAAATACTGAAAACCATTGAACTGTGCACTCTACATGGATAGTATATGAATTACATCTCAGTAAGGCCACGTGAAAAAGACCACGCCCTTGGAAATTTAAAAACCACCATCTTAACTAATACTTGGATGAAAGTAAAAGGGAAACCATAATTACAGAACAATGAAAGAATATCAGTCAGAACGTTATACATTAAAATATGTAGGATGTAGCAAAACGAGCGATTATAAGAAAATGTATACCCACTGCTTTCCAAACTAAAGTGCAAAAATAATATATATATAAATGAACCAATAATTCAACTGAGTAATTAACAGAAAAACACAAAGCGATTTAAGGGAAGCAGGAGAAGTGAATTATAAGACAAAAGTGGAAATTTCATCAAATTTAGGATGCCATCTATTACAAAAACACTATTATTTTATGCATCACTAAGAAAACTGCTGCCAATTAAGTAATGTCACAAGGCTTTGTTACCATGAACTGAAAGGTGCATCCCAGCCTCAGAGCTGCTAAAGGGTGGAGGGAAAAGCATGTGCTAGGCTCGTGGAACGCAGTGAGCTAGAAAGCAGGAGGACAATGTGACTGATGAACAAATACAAAGTCCAATCCTCTAGAAAGGCCAACTGACATACCTCTGGCAAAGCAAATTAAAGAGAGAGAAAGGAAAAATGCAGACTATTAGGAATACAAAGCAAATATAACCATACATAGTTTAAATTTTATGAGGATATCATAAAACTCTATGGTCAAAAAAATTAAATGAGAAAAATTTTCATGCTAATAATTTTAAAAACTTGAATTGAACGGACAATTTTCTATTAAAAATAGATTTTCTACCAAAAAATAGATTTTTAAATTGGTTTTAAGAGAATTAGAAAATCTAAATAAACAATGCTCATGGAAGAAAGTTGAAAGTTGTCAAAAATCGATCTCAACAGTTTGTGCCACACCCCTGAAAATACTGGAGGCCGCTTCTATACCTTGATTTCCCTCGCCATGAATACTATTTTAGATCATAAAAAGATAGAAATATTTTTCATAAAATTAGCACAACCCTGAAACCCAAACTATAAGAAGCATTTTTCACCTAGCAAATTGGCAAAGATGTAAAAAAGAGAAAGGAAAAGAAAAAAACACATGAAAATCCAAAGTATTTGTGCAAGTGGGAAATACAGGTAATTTCATCCCCTTCCAATAAAAGTATAAGCTGTTACCACCTCTCTGGAGAGCATTTTAAAAATATGCATGAAAAGGCATAACGTTTTGCTTCCATTTTGACCCAGTAATAGCAATTCTAGGAACTTATTTTATGGTAATAATCGTAACTGTGTGCAGGAAGTTTCTGCAGTAAGGATGTTCACAGCAAAATTTTAACAGCAAAATACAGAAACAATTTAAATGTCAATATTAGAGAGCAGATTCACGTGCGACGGGACTGAGTCATAGTGCAGAAATGTAGGTGATACCACTAAACGCTCACAATAGAATAAACATATATATTTTAAACGCACCCAAATGAATGAAAAGACATGAAGCAAAATAGGATTGTCTATAGGTGGGATAATAAATCACATTAACTTTACTCACTTCCTAATTCTTTATAGTAAGTGTGTATTATTTTCTAATCAGAAGAATCAATAACCGTTATTATAATTTTGTTGGTACAAATCTTCTAAAATTTGTTGACAATGCCCAGAGAACCAGAACAGAGGGGTTCGGGCCTGAGCTCCCTCAGTTTGGGAGGCTGTGGATAAACAGGTGAGAGTCTGTGACCCTTCCGGGCTGCAGGCTGGGAGACCTGGGGTTCACAGGGTCCTCGTGTGGGAAGCAGAACGTCACCTGTTTCCAGGCCCTCGTCAAGGCTCCTGTCCTTGGGAAGTAGCAATAGCCTGTTTCAACCCAAGGATCCAGCCAGTTAATCACCTCTTTATCCTTGGCCCATGCTGCTTCCTGGGAATTTCTCAACTAGAAACTATAAAAACATCATATTGGGCACTGAACAGCTTTCTTAAAAAATAAACAGTAAGTCGATTCAAACTCCTACCTAGATAGGGAATACTGGGAACCATCTTCAGGCTTCGGATGTACTCCCGAGTCCGCTTGTAATTGTCTTCTTTAGACATCAGGTAGTCCAGTTTCTCAAAGGTGGTCTTGTCTTTTCGATTCAAAAGCTAGGGTGAGAAGAACACATAGGGTATGATGAGGAAGAAGAGAAATGAACCAGAAGAAGCTAACGAGAAGGACAACTGTGGGTGAAGACTAAAGGGAAACATCTGGATGGTGTGCCTGTGGCGAGCCAAACCCTAAGCACAACAGAAGAGCTGAAGGACAGGTTTCGTGTGGAGATGGGAAGTTGGCCTCGGTGTGCCACTTTTCATAGAATCTCGCCCTTGGAAGTCATCCTTTGAAGCTACCTGGTCCACTGTTCTAACTGACACCAGAATCCCCTGCAGAGCACCTGCCTCCAGGACGTGGAAACCGCCACAACAGCAAGGAGCTCAGAGAGTAAAGCACACTGAGGTGTCGCAGCTACCCCAGCCTCCGTACCTGAGTCCACAGCTACACTGTGCTTGCTCCTCAACGTCTCTGCTGCTGCCGAAGGCCCCAGGAAACCTCACAGGACTCACCTGTGTGCGCTGTGCACACGGCCAGGCTGCCTCTCCAGGCTAGGCTGCCCCCTCCAGACTCCTGGATATGGCAATTTAACAAAAGAAGCCAAGCTTGCCCTGGCTGGTGTGACTCAGTGGATTGAGTGCTGGCCTGAGAATCAGAGGATCACTGGTTTGATTCCCTGTCAGGGCACATGTGTGGGTTGTGGGCCAGGTCCCCAGTAGGGGGTACACAAGAGGCAACCAGCCTCTTGTTGTTACTTTCCCTCTCTTTCTCCTTCCCTTCCCCTCTCTCTAAAAATAAATAATAAAATCTTTTTGAAAAATAAAATTAAAGAAGAAGCCAAGCTTTTAATCCATATACAGTCATATAAGTGATGACTTAGTTAAGAAAATACAGGAGGAGCAGGCACCCACAGCCCAGACATGACTGATATTTCTGGTACGTAGAGGAGGGTTCTGTGTGCATAGGAGGCTTTTTGGAAGGAAGGAATAGAAGCCTGAATGTCATGGTCATCCTGCATGTCCCAGGTCAAGGCCCAGGGCCAGGAAATGGCAGTAAGTCTCCTTGAATAACATGGATTTGAGGAGAGGCATCAATGTTGGGAGAAGAGGCTTAACAAGAGCATTTGGGGGAGGGTCACACAGAGAGGAGTGGCTTTGGCACAGCACCTGGCTCCCCCAAGGTGAGCTTCCAGGACCTGGTGCCTCTGGGACTTTAGATCAATGGCTGGGCCCAGGAGTATAAATGGAGCGAGACCTTAGCCCTGGAGCATCTTCGGTCGAGCTTGGTGATCAGACCCCAATGGTCTGAGCAAGGACCTGGACCAGCAGAGCTGCCACGTTCGTCAGACTGAGGTCGGCGAGTGTCCAACGGCCCTCGTCACACAGCAGAGAGCAGTGGAACCGTACCAGGGGAAGTCCAGCCCCAGGGGAAGCGGGCCTTTTGTGCTGAAGCAACCCCGTTAGGTAACTTGAGTACAGATGCAGTGCGGTTCCCAAGACCTGGGTCTGCACATCCCAGACTCAGGCCATGTCTGCATCAGGGAGCCTGCATCAGGGCCATGGGCATGCCCTGCCCAACTCCTGGATCCTCAGACTCTGGAGCCACAGAGGACTCAGCTGTGTGACAGCCCAGCGGAGCCATGACAGTTTAAAGACTTAGAGGAGGAGAGGGGAAAGAATAAGCTAAAAGGAAGGTCCTAGTGCTGAAGAAGTTAGAAAGTAAATAGCAAGCTTTTTTTTCTGACTGAGAAATTCAGGACATACCAGGGTGGGGATGCTACACAGATGCTAGGGACAACGCTGCTTAACTGGCTTACTAATTTGAGGCTGTTACTCATCACATTAACAAATGAACAGGAAATAACACCATCCCCCATGTGCTATTTGTAAAGCCCCACAATGTAACAGCTCATCCGATCCTTACACAGCCCCGTGACACAAATGGAGCTAAGACTTGCCTCTATTTCAGATCCACGATTGCTGGTCTGAGTATCCCTGGGGAACTCAGTTCACAGAGGACAGAGATGCCTATTACAGCAACATGGTAAGTAAATAGAGACCAAGAACCCAGACAGACAATAAGTAAACTATGGGTGGGGGAAGTGACAAGGAAAGCCAAATAGAGAAAGTCATTTGAAAAGAACATACATTTAAGGACGAGAAATTCACTACATGAACAACATATACCTGGATCAGAATGAGATACTCTAGTTATGAACTGCCCTATTGTAAAGTTCAGCAGGCCCCTCGCATCCCTGACTGGGAGGTCATCTCTTTATTAACGCAACGTAGAACTGCACTGACTTCTTTGGCAACCACCCATGTTCATCCAGCAGCCACACAAATCCCTGCGTGGTCCTCACGCTTTCTGCAGCTGACCAGTGCTGGTGCCCAATGCTCACACCGCTGGCTCTGTGGACCCAGGTGGGAAATTGCCTGTGTCCCCTTCCACATTCGGCCTATCTGCCTAGCTTGTCAAGTGCCTCTGAGCGTGGTACCACATCACCTGTGTCCTGACATAGACACGACCAGGCAGGTCACTACGAGGTTAGAGCCCTTGGAGACGTCCCTGAAAATCACTCTGTAGACTAGACCTCAAATCAGTAACTGGGGTTCCTTGGCAGAGTGGGACAGCCACAGGCAGTCACATTTGCATGCTTCCTAAATTGAAAACCAAGGTCTTCCAGTTCACACCAGCCTGTGTGAACCTTGCCTTTAAAGACCTACTCCCTACCAAACCCCCTGCCCTACCCGAACGCACACACTCATTCCTGGATCTGGTTAACCTCACTCATCTGCTCCACTCTGTGCCCACAAATGAAATTCAGGGTCGCATCACATTTGCAGAGGATGACAGATGACATAAAAACTCAGAACATCTATTTCCCAATCAGGTATTTGAATGCTACTTAAGAACTTCCTCTAGTAAAATAAAGGACTAAACCACATGCAGGGAAACACAGGACACGAGAAACAGAGGGCCCAATCCAGGAGCAGCAAGGGGAGATTCTGAGATGGCAGCTGAACAGCAGGCCTTGGGAACACCTGGTCCACGTCCCAGAAGAGACACGTGCAGAGAACGAGAAGGAGTCACAGAAAACCTGATAGGACCACGCACTTGTTGGCATGTATTTATTATATTAGAGATCTATTTATTATACATATAATATAAAAATAAATAACTTAAGGGCTTATATATAAAATCTAATAAAACATTATACAATATTTAAAACATAATATTAAAATATATATTATGAAATAATATAGTGTATAATATATAAAACATTATTTGTGTGTGTACACACACACACACACACACACACACACATACAGTTGATGCTTGAACAAGGCAGGTTTGAATGTCACAGGTCAATTAAACTGTGTGGGTCAATTTTTAAAAATCAGTGTAGAAGTCAAGCTACACAATTCAAACTGGTGTTGTCCGAGTCCGCTGTGTGTGTGGGTGCCTGTGCTTGTAGATAGAAGGTAGCTAGAGTGAGAATTTTTTTTGTTTTATCAGCACTCTTTATTTTCTTTTTTTAAGTATATTTTATTGATTATGCTGTTACAGTTGTCTCAATTTTCCCCTTTTGTCCCCCTCTGCTGGTACCCACCTTAGTTCTTGTCCTTAGTCCTGTCCTTAGTTCCCTCCTTAGTTCCTGTCCATAAATATGCAAGTAAGTTCTTTGGCTTCTCCCTTTCCTATACTGTTCTTAACCTCCCCCTGCCCATTTTGTTCCTACCAATTATGCTTTTTAATCCCTGCACCATTTCTCCCATTCTCTCTCTACCCCTCCCTGCTGATAACCCTCCAAATTATCTCCATACCTATGATTCTGTTCTTGTTCTGGTTGTTTGCTTAGCTTGTTTTTGTGTTTTAGATCCAGTTGTTAATAGTTGTGAATTCGTTGTCATTTTAATGTTCATAGTTTTGATCTTCTTTTTCTTCTTAAATAAGTCCCTTTAACATCTCTTGTAATAATGGCTTGGTGATGATCCTTTAGCTTTATCTTTTCTGGGAGAGAGTCCCCAACAAGTTAGACCTAGAGAGGCCCACACCAAGACACATCATAATTAAAACGTCAAAGGTTAAAGACAAAGACAGTCTTAAAAGCAGCAAGAGAACAGCAGAGAGTCACCTACAAAGGAGTTCCCATAAGGCTATCAGCTGATCTCTCAGAAGAAACTTTGCAGGCAAGAAGGGACTGGCAAGAAGTATTCCAAGTGATGAAAAGCAAGGACCTACAACCTAGATTACTCTATCCAGCAAAACTACCATTTAGAATGGGAAGGGCAGATAAAGAACTTTTTAAAAGGGAATTAGAAATTCCAGGGAAACAAAAAAGTATTCAATAAAGGACATGTCATTGATGGTTTACTACCTGACTACAGAAAACCATATTTACACATCCCTAATAATTAAACCACGAAACACTCACCTAACAAGTGACAGAACTGCAGTAACATGAATGCATTTGAAAAATGAAGGAAACTGGGGAAAACTAAACAACATCTATCATACAAAGGAGTCACCAAATACTGCCTAAAGTAAACAGACCAGGAAATTTCAGCCCGAGCACATTGGCGGGCGAGCGGCAGAAACTCCTGGCAGAGGCAGCTCCTTCACTTGAAGGTCAGTGGCGGCCTCTGGGGATAAACGGGGCCTGGAGAGACGAGTGAGTGCTGTTGCACTAAGCCTTTCAGCACTTAGTGATTTTTAAAATTCATGTGTGTGTATCATGCTGCAAATTCTTTTGAGATTCAATTTTTAAATACAGTGTTTATTCAAGAAAAAAACAGCTACACATTTTAAAGGTTTATTACAAGTGCAGCCATAAACTAAAAACCTCGTAAGAATTGAGGGTCCTTTATAATTTAGAGTTTACAGGAAGTTTCAGGAAGAAACCTTGTAGAAATATTATATACCCAAGAAAACAGGTTTTCTGCCTGCCTGAGTCAAACAGGTACTAAAAGCATTCAAGTCCAGGAGGAGAGGTTGGGCAAATCCGAGTGAGGACAGGCTCCTCACTGCAACAGGCAAGTGCACCTGCGGGGAG